CCACACATCTTAAAGCATGCTGGCTGGGGAATTTTGGGAGTTGAAGTCCACACATCTTAAAGCATGCTGGCTGGGGAATTTTGGGAGTTGAAGTCCACACATCTTAAAGTTGCCAAGGTTGAGAAACACTGGTCTAAGAGATTGCTAATCTTCCTTCTTTCTGCCCGTCTTCCCAGACACAAATGCATGGAACACATGGTCTTGGACTCTCCCGGCAGGATGTAGTTAACCAGGTGCTAGGTTTTGCCTATCCCTTCGATGTATTTCCTGTAAAACAATTCTCCTTTCTGCTGTAGCTATAAAAATAAAACCTGCTTCGCTAACCCTTGCTCAGATCGAATTCCTGCTCTCAGAAGTGCTTACACGTGCACACAGAATGCTTCTTCCACCCACAACAGGAGGATCTTAGACAGGGGTTGAATGCCTGACTCTTTCTGGTCATCTGGAGGGAGAGCAGGATGGGCTCCCTGCATGATGAAGGTTGCAAGAAGAAAGGCCAGTGGCCAGAATGTCCTTTGGGTGTCCTGGCACTGGAGGTAATGCAGTCATCATGGCTGATAGTGATAGCTCCCTAAACGGTTGGCCAGTTCTCCTTTAAAGCAGTCCAGCTTGGTGCTCAGCAGCGAGTCTCCCTGTTTAAGCATCTTGCAATTTATTTATTTATTTGCTTATTTATTTAATCGCATGTGTATAGCTGCCCATCTCACATAGTGACTCTGGGCAGTGTAGGTAATCATCATCAAAATATATAAAAGCCATTAAAACAACCAATTTGAATTAAAAAATAAAACAAGATAAAAAACAAAATGGCAGCAAAACACACAGTGTAATGCTACTTGGAGTCTACAGCTATATCCTAGTGGTAGTTTTCTCCATTTGGGAGAGCTGAATATTTATTTATTCATTTCTTCAACTTAGATGCTGCCTGCATCCAGTCAACTCTGGCTGGTTTACAGTAACTAAAATTCCCTCTCTCTCTACTCCATACAAAAGGGCAAGAAACAAAGGAAAATCTCAAGGACCCTGGTGCTCTGCATGTTCATCTCATCCATAGCTGCTTCTCGTGGGTTATTGAGGGGGAGCTGCACATCATCAAGCCAGCATTCCCTTAGAGGACCCGTTGGGTAACTGGAGCCAGGAAGAGCCAGGAAAAGAGGTGGGACAAGCAGATCTTCCCTTCTTTGCTGCCCTTTACCAGGATACCTACATGATCTGTTCTACTTTCTAAATCTCTTCTCATAGCCCACTTTCAAGCTTTTTTGCAAGCTTCTAATAGAATAGAATAGAATAGAATAGAATAGAATAGAATAGAATAGAATAGAATAGAAATCTTTATTGTCATTGTACAACTTGTACAATGAAATTAATGCCACCCCAGTGCAGCTTTACCCACGATTCAAGCTTTCTGCACAAATCTCTTGGATTCATGTCCAGCCAAAGTGGAGCCAATTCACAGTTTGCAGCCTGCATTCATCAACCATCTCCTCATCCACGGGGTTGAGGGATGGGGCATGGTCAAAAAGGTCACGATAAAGACCACAACCGTACAGTCAAAATCCATCCCTTTTTGACATTCATCAACATGGGTCAAAAAAGGGGTGGGGCTTAGATTCCCTTGTTGTGGCTACGAAGTTGACATTTTTCACCACCACCTTAGTAGATCACCCTGATCTGCTTTACTTCCTTTCTATTAACCACTGCTAGAAAGTATCCTGTAAACCTCTTGAGGGAAGAGATCTGTGGTCTGCCAGAAACCATGCTAATAAAGTAGAACGACTGGGTCAAAAATAACATCCAATGTGACTTTCTGTCCTTATAAACTTCATTAAAATTAAATATCATGAATGTAGAATTTCACTCCAGTCATACATGTCATCGTTTCCTTCTTCTGTCCCATGAAAACCACTATTTGAAAACTACCTTGGGAAATCCCTGGGTTTTTCTGAGACCGAATGCCACCATGATGCCCCAGGTTTCATTTCTGATTTAGGTGGATGCTGTTACATGGATGATGGATGCTCCTGCTGCATCTTTATTTTCATTTTTAAAAAGAGAAATAATACAGGTCTGGACTGCTGCTGTATCTGAGCATTCAGCAGCAGCCCCGCAGGATCTGCAGTTTGGGTCTTAGATTCTGAAGTCAGAGCTCTGCAACAAAACTCTTGTTTTGGATACAAAAGTTTTCAGTCTCCTCTGGAGGTAGGGGTGAGAAAGATTCTTGTACAGTATGAAAAATCTGGAAAAATTGTTGGTTTGTATAGCCCAGTGTTTCTCGACCTCGGCAACTTTAAGACGTGTGGACTTCAACTCCCAGAGTTCCCCCCCCCCCCCCTCCCTCACGGGGGCACCGGGGGGTGGAGGTCCCCCCAGCTTAAAATTTCGGGAGGTTCAAAAAAAAATAAAACGAAAAACCAGGGGG